GCTTTGACTTGGCATGCTCTCCAAACTTCATTATTTCTATTCATCATGTTTGCTTTCAGGAAAGTTTAAGAACCCAAATAATGTTTTTCTCTTTTAGAGCAGGGAGAGGAGGAAACAGCACTCACTAAGAAGGCTTAGGAGCAGATTCTAAACTAAAGAGCTGTCAGTTCAGCTGTCAGTAGGGTCACAGACAACTGGGCATTTGGCTCTGTGATCTTCTAAGAGCTGCTTGGGAAAATGGGGCAGAGATGCTCAGTATTTCCTGCCATCTGCCTTCTGGCCAGGTCTAAGATTTTAAGCAGATTTTGTCCTTTTGCCCAGCTGGCTGCAGGAGTTACAGCTAAAAGTATGATCCCACTCCTTGTCCCAGCACTGCCAGCTCTCACACCTGGATCCTGAGTCTTGTGAGATTTGGTGTTTCTCTGAGAGGCCCAACAGACAGAAGTGTCAGAAGGGTTAGGAGTGGACTTCACCCTGTTCATCTCTAACACCTGTGATTTCCGAGGAATGCTCCGAAATGTGATCTCTAAGGACTCCAAAACCAATAYACAGATAAGCAGAATCCAAGTGAACTTCACTAAGTAACCTCAGCTGTTTATTCATATTCCAGTAACATTTGCAACCTGAACAAAGAATTTTAACAGGTGGAGAGACATAGTGCTTCTTTCTGGAAGACTGGCATGAACATGGAAGTCCACGGAAGGGCGGGAAAGACAACTTAGATGTCCTTTCAGATGCAGCTATGTCCTGGACAAGAGGAAGAGTGAAGGAGAGGCTACAGTGMAGCAGCCACCAAGAACACTTTTGAGCCAGCTGTAGACTCAGAAAGTCTCAAAGCCTCAGAAAGAGGCCAGGAAGAGTGATTAGCTCTGCTTGAGCTTGTCTGTCTCAGAACACTGAACTTCTAGATCCTCTCTGCATGCAGCAAAAATATTGCATTCAAAACAGGTGGGAAAGCAATCCACTCTGTGCAGGAGACAAAGAACAGATAGCTGTCAATGTCTCTTCTAGCAGGTGATGATGAGTGGCTTTGGCTAGGCTTCTCATGCTCTTCATATCTCCAGGCCACCTATTTGTGTGTTTTCAGCAACCCTGTAGTAGCAGCTATATCTAAAGAAAGTGGTTCTCTATGATGTTTAGACTCAGCCTTTTGAAATATTTTCAATACACAAACCTGGTCAGTTGGTTTTTATTTCAGATCTTGGAAGGGGTCTAGACAAGGACCCCATCAATAAGTCCTCTGGATGCCACAGCTTATGTTAGAACCAAGTAGGCTCCTTGTGTCAAAGTATGTTAGTTGGACAGAGATTTCCTCAGGTCTCTTCCAACCAATATCTATAACTTCTTGTCAACCAGATCCTTAGTGAGGTTTCTCTCACACTATGTTTTCTCTTTTTTCTGCCCTGATTTTAATTAAAATTGCCTTGCTGATGGAAATGGCATCAAATTCACAACATTCCTATATAAAGTTTTGATCTCAGTAAGTCACGGATATCCAGAAAAAGAATACCTTTGATAATTCAATAACAGTTTAATTAAATGACTTTTACATAAAATGTGTCAATGTTGTAGAGAGTGAGGGAACCTCTGGAGTGTAACTTATCATGACTATGTTAGAAACCTCATTTAGGATGGGACAAATCATTCTCTGGAAGCAAGTGCTTTGAGATTCCATTTCCCATCCGTAAGCAGAGGTATAGTGCCATTTTCTTGCACTTCGTGTAGAGATGAAATGAAGGAGAAAAGGTAGAAGAGGAGGGTAAATTCCCTTCTAATGTTACTACAGAAAACAGAGGAAGAATCTCCTCTTTAGCTAGCTTGGAGCTTCAGCAGGACCTCACAGCACTTACTGTTGGACTTTAAAACCTAGGGAAAGGGTTTCTGTGTGAGCCTTGTTCCTGCTTATTGCAAGGATGATTGTGGAGCTGTCAGCACAGGATGTGTGGATCTGTGGAGGTAAATGTCGTCGGAGAGGTAGGCATGAGCACAGACTCCTTTCACCGCTGCTGAAGACYCGGTTTCTCATTGCAGCTTCAACAGCGAGCACTGCATTATCAGGGTTTGCATGGTGACCATGTGGAGCAGGCACTATGCGCAGGACTGTGCAATCYTGGCATCCTGTTAGGGGAATCTTTTCTGCACAATATAGCCTGGATGCATTCCTCACACATCAGGGACTTCCCTGGCTCCATGCTGCTGGCTTGGTGTGAYTTCACTTCAAGCATCAAGGACATGAGCAGAAAATTGACTGTGATTTGCATGAGGAGAAGGGGAGAGAGAAGGTGCATCATAGATGGCCCTGTGCCCTGCTAGCTAAATGCCATTTAAYACARTGTCATTTGGGTGTAAAACAGGCCTAGATACATCTGGAAGTCTTGTGCTAGSCCAAATAGCAYTTAGAAGAGATCAGAGCTCAGCCTCTGCTTCTTCCATCCTCCCACAAGAATTCCCACCATCCACTGTATTGCTTTCTTCAACACTCTGCCATTCACAGTGGCCTTCTAGAGCTTTTAAATACTGAAATTGGCATCTGGATGGGAGGAAATCTAGGAAATGGGCACAAAGGATTCTTCTGGGCTGTAGGCCAAAATGTAATCCTTGGAGTCACTGAAAGCACAGCAGAGTTAAGCTCTGGAAAGCAGGAAGAATGTCACTGAGTAGGCATAAAATGACTCTTAGTTCATTCAGAGTTACAGAAATCTATCTGTTTGCTTTGGGCTACTCACAGTGTGAATCAAAGCCAAAGTCCTTGTCCTGCTCATCTGGACATGGACAAGCCCAGATTTCAGTTTTGGTCAAGGTCCATATCCTTGCTGTGGGGAGATGCCAAAATGCATGGCTGTTCTTCTTTTGTCCAGGTTTAATTTAAGCCTTGTGCCATCTTTTTGGGTTTCCTCATGCCTGTAGAGCTGTGGACATCCTTCCAAGTGTCTTAATTCCAACACTCACTAACTATCCTGCAAGTGAGACACTCGGTATCCTCTAAGGTCATGTCAAAATGTAAGTCTACAGCAGCTCATCACAATGCCCAGTCACTTGTCTCCCAGCTTTTCTACGGACCTTGGAGAAGAGCTGTGCCTGTATCCAAGCTAGGTTCTGTACTTCAGTCAGGAATAGATTTGAATTTCTCAAGGCCCTCAAAGATAGATTTGGCTGACTAAGAAAGGGCAGCGTCTGGACACGGGACCTCGGAAAACCCTTCCGGACTGGAAAGAAGGGTATAAACCCTAGCAAGTATGCCAAATAACAGCTGGTAATATGTTTATCGCTCACCTGCACGTTTGTGAGGGTGATTACGCACATAGACTGGAAGGCGTATAGGCAGATTGATAGTCAAGGATATGCCTAGCTAATGAAGGAAGGCACTTCAACATCCCAACCCAGAGCAATCACTTCTTACTTCTTCGTTTGGGCAGCACAATATATCTTCACAGAACGACATCTTCTGCCARAACCAGGGAAGATATCGGTCATGGAGCTGGTCTGGCCGCATCTCCCGTCCAGAAATACAGCTGGCATTGGCAAACCAACCCCTACCTCAAGAAGAAGCATTTCCAAGACCGAGCTTCTCACAGGTCTCTGCCACATGTTTGCAGTAGCCTCCGTGATGGATGATGACAACTGGAACAKCTTAGGCATTACCCTCCCTGTCTGTCACATCAGCGGAACCAAGCTGCAGCAGGGACAGAGTACCCAGAAACATCCAATGAAGTTGTCGTGTGGGTCTCAGATACTGCCAGACTGKTTTCCAAAACGCAGCATGACAGCCATGCTGGTACATGAGCATCCACACACCTTCCCATGGTCTCCCTCCCCTCCTCATGAATCATCAGGCCACTGAATCCTAAAGCAGGGCAGGCACCGTGTGATTACCCTGCTCCTGTCTTTCCCTCCTAGCTTGTGACGGTCCTTTGCTCATCCATACTTGTTTGGTGGAGCTGAGATGCAGTTCCAGCGAAATGAACCCCAGCAATGCCTGGGCAGCTTGGCGAGCCTCAGCTTGTCTTGCACACACAGCCCGCTCATCCTTTACCAGGACCTTGATACACCAATGGCCTTATTCCTGCTCTTTTTTAGAAAATGTCTGAGTATGCTGCCTTCCAATTTATCATCTAACAACGTAACATGCCACCTGTCTGTGACAGACCAGTCCCGAGAGCCTGGATCTCAATACCTCAAAAATCATCTTGTAGATAGGAGCACAGAAAAAAATCTAWAGATTTTTAAGGAAAAGCAACCATTTGACAAACTCTGCACACAACCCTGCCGTAATCTGGAGTACCTATAGAGTACACAAGAGATCTGTCTGCAGTACCAGGAGTACATGGCTCRATCCAGCTACGTACTTTATGGTCCTAGTGGTACAGAGGTACTGACACATCAGTGGGTTTATTTTCATAGTATYCCAAGGTCAAAGATGGGGAGTAATACAGAAGATGAAGCCCATTGCACCTCAAGCTTTAGTAGCAGAGTCAGAAGTGGACACCAGCTCTCCAGCACAGCCGGTGTAGCCATGAGCTGCGTATCTTGGAGATATTTCCTATTTTATAAAATGTTCCTCCACTCTGGAAGCACTATCGGGCCCATTAATCACAGAAGAGAGTCTTGTTATCTGTGCATATCAGAAGAAAAAGCTGCCCTGCCTGACTTTTTCATAGAGTTTACAAATGCTCCTCTACCTGAGATCTGGACTGCTCAACTCAAAGGGGCTGGGCTAATATTTCCTGCTATTCTGAGCATCTTAAAATATGAATGATATTGGTGAAGTGTGTGGGACACTCTGGAAGGGGAGCAGCAGCAGTAGAACTGCATGTTTATTACTGTYATGTTAAATGCTCAATCTGCCTTGAATAAGGGCATACTGAAAACCCTGTTAATTTTCCACCTTTTTAGCTGGTCAGTGTGCTTCACCCCTTGTAGATGACAACCATTTAGGAAAAAAAAGAAATCTTTATTTTATATTTTTTGTATACTTGTACACAAGTAAAATAAAATGCATATCTATATATACTGCAATCTTGTGAAGGAGAAGGTCGCATTCTTTAACAAATGCTTCCCGTAAACATGATGTCATGGAGTGAATACGGAAAAACTGCAATATTCATAAACATAGGATTAAAACAGCATCAAATTCATTACCTCTGCAAATGGGAACCTGCAATATCATTCAGTGTCATGTCAAGTTACAAACAGATTTTAGACATTCTTTTTTGGAACATTTCTTACATTTTTTTTTTTCCTGTAAGTAAATCATATTTTACCATCTGCTGTAGCAAAAGCTGCTTTGTGGACAAGTGCAGTTCCGAAGACCAAAGGTATAATTCACAGGTTTCAGGACAAATAAATTATGTACATCCCAGTGTCTGTCTCTTTTGTTTTTTTGTTTTTTATTTTTTATAAAGGCATCCAGTTAACTTTTGTGTAACAAAGCTTTCTCAGGTTGGATGGTAGTTTGCTTTCATTTGCAACATTTATGGAGGTCAGCAAAAGTCTAGTATTAAAGTGTCATCAACCCAGGAAAAGAGTTTGTTTTAGCAGAATAACAGTAAGCTCCACACCAAGGGGGGGATCAAAAGGCTTAGGCTGAGCTGTAACGTGGAGCTGTTTCCTTGCTGAGTGAGGCGGCACTGGGCTTTTGATCTGTTCTTTTTAGAGCAGCCCTGCCTCTTTTTGGTTGGGACTGTGGAAGGTTCAATAGGCTCTAGAAACTCCGGTTTCAACTTGGTCAATGGAGGTTCTACAATGCTGGGGAAGGTCCCAAAAGGGGAATCATTTATCTGCTTGTTGCTGCCATTTTTAGATGGGTCCGTCTCAACATACTTGGTTTTGGACATGTTTTCCTTATCCTTGAGGGGATTGTTGGAGGATGGCCGGCTGCTGTGGGAAGAAGGACCTGCCTTGCCTTTAGCTTCATAAATAAAAGATTTATCTGTTTCTGGCTGGCAGCACTTGGAGGAGATGTCATGGGAACTGAGAGGGGGGTTCCCGGTCGGCAGTTTACCGGACTTGGTCTTAGTGCTAAAAACACTTGTTCGTATCTGGTTGAAGGAATCAATGCATCCTTCCAAGTCTGTGCTCTGCAGCCTTTTGAGGTCTCTCCCTGCCAAGCGCGGGGGAAGGTGGCACTCTAGTTCTGAAGATGATCCTTTAAACTGTTTAAACCAATTCCAGAGTGACCGAGCCTGGCAGTCACAGATCCACTGGTTACCATTCAAACGTAGATACTGGAGAGACACAAGGGGAGCCATGGTTTCACCCGTGAGCACGGTCAGGTTGTTGTTAAACAGATACAAGGTCATCACTTTCCCAAGGTCATGGAAAGACCGGCGGTGGACCAGACTGACTCTGTTCTGGTGCAGAAGCAGTCGGTCTAGGTTGATGAGCCCGCGAAAGACGTTCTCTGACAAGCTCTTTATTTTGTTACCATGCAAAAACAAGTAGGTCAGGTTTGCGAGATCCACAAAGGTGTCATCCAGCAGATTCTGTAGATTATTATCCTGAAGGTAGAGATATTGCAAGGAGAACAACCCTCGAAAAAGGCCTGTGGACAGCTCCAGGAGCCCACAGCGATCCAGATGTAAGGTGTGGAGGTGAATAAGACCCCGGAAAGTGATTGGGTTGATAAATTTCAGGTTCGTGTTGTCGCTAAGATCTAACTCCTCCAGTTTGTTCAGCCCATAAAAGGCTCCAGGTTCGATGAGGCTGATGTTGTTGGAGTGGATCCAAAGGATGGTCATGTTGCGACAGGAGGTAAAACTGGTGGACCTCACAAGGGTTATTTTGTTGTTGTGCAAGAAGATGCGCTGGCTCTGGATAGGGATCTCAGTGGGGATTGCTGTCAGTCCTTGCTGCTGACAACTTATTGTAATCTTCGGCTCAGTGTAGCATACACACGCCCCAGGGCAAGACTCCACTTCTGACTGGATGTTCAAACAAAGAACCAAAATCAGCAGTTTGCTTCCTAAAGAACAACAAAAATAGTATGCAAATTAGCCAGGATCGTGGGAGAGCACTTTTCTCTGYAGCTAATAGATGAGCCTGAAATTCACCCCTGTAACAACATTGCCATTAACCACAAACAAAACATTCCAAGGGAGTCAAACAATTAAAATGCAGAATTAAAAACATTCTACCACGCTAATGCACTTCAATTGTGAGAATGTCTGAGCCTCTCATACTCAGGTCTGTGACTTCAATCGCGATTGAAAATGAGCACCATGTATTTGCACCGTGATTCCTAGATATGCATCCAGCAAGCCCTATCCTAAGTGACTTGCCTCTAAGACTGCCGTCTAAGACTGCTAAGACTTACCTCAGTGCTGCCTCTTTGGGGGTTGTTTGTCACAGGATCACGGAGTCATTTGGCACAATTCAGTGTCTATCTGGACATGCCTGAGGCCTATGACAGCAGGAAACTTGAGCTGCACCAGGCAGCACTGCCGTATCTATCTCAGGAACACCACCAGTTCCTCGCTTTCAAGATCATCAAATAACCGTCCAAAGAAAACAAGTGTTCCCAGTCCACATTCAAGCTGTAAGATGGGCACGTGCCCATTGTGAGCTTCCATGGGCACACTCCACATTGATCTAGTCTTTCTGCAAGAAGTAACTGCAAGGGATTCTCCAAATACCTTGCAGGCCAGGCCTGCTTATAGGCGTCAGAGCTGAAAGCATTATTTCCTTCTCCTTTACCTTTTACCTTTTACCACACATTCTTTTTTCCCTTCCTTTCCTTCCTTCCACCCTCAGAGGTTTGTGCAGTCACTGAGGAAGAGGAGGAAACAGCTTGTGTTTCCCGAAGGGAAGCGCTGTCACGAGAGGAAATCCTGGGCAAAGCTTGAGGCAGGGATTCCTCAAGGTTTTCCAGGTGGAAGCAGTTTCCCTGTGTGTGTTGAGTGCAGGCAGCACACTGGTGCAATGAGGGCTCTGAGCGGAACAATTTTCTGCACTGGTAACAACCCAATTCCCCAGGAACCCGGCTACATGAAATGCAAAGAAGGTGCCAAGGGACCTCAGATCACAACGAATCACAATGGTGCCTTGGGATTCACTTCATCAGGCCTCCTGGATGTGCTTGGGAAAGGTAAATATAGGAAAAGATGGGCAGATGTTAAGCACCCAACATCATGTTCTTACAGGAGACTTGGGAAAGCGGGTAAGTGTGCAGATGTGCATCTTCTTCCCAGTTCATCACAGCACCTGTGTCAGAGATGAGCTCCTCCTAGTCACAGAGCAATCCTAGTTGAGGGACACACAAACAGCTTTCCATGATTGCTGCCCCAGGATGTTTTTGTCCTCCTTGAAAGACTGAAAATCTTGTTTAAGGATTTTAATGCCTCATTACATCCTAATGTGAAGCAGCACAGTTCAAAAAGTCAGGCACAAAGAGATAAGGACACAGAGCCGGACAAAGTGGAGGAACAGAGAGGCTCCTGTCACTTCTTGCCAATGTGTGCATGATGCAGGAGCAAGAGGACGCGCTCTTGTGCAGCTGAATTCCAGAGATAGTGGCTGTTCTTCACAAAAAAAAGCCTGAAAGATGATAGCATAGCTAATAAAATCAAATCTTCTTTGAGCCTAAGTAGCAACTTCAAACTCCAACAAGGGAGTAAATCATATGGAAATTTCCCCAAACTATTTACTGAAGCAATAACAAAGGTATCAGAGAAGCCAAGATGGGAAAGCCACTTTTCTGTAATAAAAGACTGGGATTCTAGGCCTGAGTTCATTCTAGCCAAAGTAATTCACTATGTGAAGCTAATAAATCTGTGGTGATCCAACAGTCCAATGCAGACAAGAGACTTCTATGCATCAGAGTACACACAAGAGAAAAAATAACAGCTCAGCATGCAGAGATAATTTGAGCCTGATATTATTAGCTGCTGCGTGTCCCTAGAAGGCTGTGTGTGGAGCGCAGTGTTATGACACATTCTGGCTGGCTTGTCATGTTTCGACATATCATGTACCATTGTATGGAGCAGAGTAACACGAGACAATTGAAGTCCCCTGCTGGGGACATGTCACACTAAGAAGAGCCTCTTGGGAAATTAAAGCAAGGCTGGCATCTCTCTGACCAGCATGATTCCTTTCCAGCTAATAAGGAAAACCTGTAGAAAAGGAAATGTATCTTCCTGGAGACTATTTTTTCCAGTTTCATAATTTGGATAGGCACAGRCCAGAATGGCACTACAGGGCTGGGTTTCATAATGCTGCGCAACACCATCCGCTCCAGTAAAGCAGCATCCAGGCTGGAAACACTGCTGCAGACTCCAGAGCTCGTCCTAGCTGTTCCTTGCTGCTTTACTAATGCCACAGGGGCTACCACCTACTCGTCGAAATCCAGCCTGAACCCAGATGCATCCCATATGCCTTATAAATATGTGAGATGTTCACAGTGCAATGAATACAAAGAGCCCTCCCTATGGGACAGGAATCACAATGTCAACACTCCTGCTCTAGCTCCAGCCAGGGGAGGCATAATAGATATATAATATATGCATACTATATGGAGGAAGAAAGAGAGAACATAAAGCAACCAAAAGAACAAGCCATTCACATGAACACAACCCATTAAATACAATCACCTCATGATAATCATACATCTCTTTTCTGCAAACTCCGGATCCCTTGATTTGTCACATCCAGAATGTTCCCTGCCTCCTCTTTCCTATGGACAGCCATACAGCAAGATTCCACCCCAATCTCTGAGTTTTTGCAGACCCAGAGGCATGCCACCACTGCTTTCCAGCACACAGGGGCAGAAGGGAAGCAGCAGATCCTGTTCCGACCCTGAACCATGCCTTATCTTCTGTAGCTGCWGCCTCCACAACTTCCAGGAGCTCTGAATCAGTGGTGCTGATAGCCAGCTGCCAGTGGAACAGCACAGGGAAAATAATTACAGGCAGGGCTAGTCTGTGTGCCTTAATTAGGGACCYGGTATTCATACGCTGCTCAGATTAGCTCCTTCCACCAGAGACAGTGACTGTCAGTCATTTTCAGGCTTTTTCCTGGTTTGCTTCCTCCTGGTGCAGCTCGTGCATGTCCTGGCTGAGACATAGCAGAATAGCAGAACTCAGCATCACCACAATCAGGCATCAGAGAGTCCCAAGCCAGAGCAGGGTCTGAAGTAGTTTCTAGAATGGTCTGAAGTAGCTTCTAGAATAGGCACATTCCACAGTCACAGAGTTCAAGATCATATCATGACCCCCTTTGCTCTGGGCTGGAACTGGGGAAGTGCGAAAGAGAGACCAGAGGAACTGAGACCTTGTTCCTACATAGAACTTCTCCATGACTGACATTCAGGACTCAGCTAGTGACTATGCCCCAGATCACCATACCCTCCAAGTAGTCTGTGGCTTCCAGGCCATGTAACAGGATATATCTATCTGTCCAGTTTCAGGCAAATAAAACTTTACTCTGAACAGTTCTCCAGTGCCCATTTTAGCACAATGGTGAGTACAAGGCTGGAAGCCCTGGGACAGGACAGTTGCTAAGCCCGACATTAGGTCGTGTTGATGCAGGTGTACAGATTTAGGGTGATGTAGAGCACAGCAAAGGTTGTACATGTCTGCTGGAATTTAAGTGCAAAGTTACAGGTGCCACCTTATTCTAAATGAAACAAGTCCTGCAAGATCAACCCTGCAACCCTGCTCTGCATCCCACAGTGCTGCAGCCCATGGCTGGAAACAGGCCGCTACTGCAGGGCCAGATGTCATAGCAGAGCACAAACCCAAGCCCCTTTGTGCTCAACCAAGCACCATAGCCTCATSCAGAGCACTGAACCATGTGCTCTGATGCAGAACTGGAGCCATAACAGACCAGGAAAGCCAGAGCACTCAGCTGGGCACTCTGTTGCAGAAAATCAGGCAAAGTCCCTCAGCCCAGCATTCTGATATCAGACCAGGCCTCCATCCACCTCAATACTCTCAGCTACATCCTCTGTTTCCCCTACCTTTTTTAAAACCTCTACCTTTCTCTCCTATGTCTCCATCCATCCATCCATCCATCCATCCATCCATCCATCCATCCATCCTTCCATCTATCTATCTATCTATCCATCTATCTATCTATCTATCTATCTATCTATCTATCTATCTATCTATCTATCTCTACCTCTACCTCTACACTATCCCAAGGCTTGTCTGGCTGATATGAAGGCAGTTCCCAGTTAATCCCTAGCCTGGACCAAATCTTGTCAGTGTGCAGAGCCACTAGATCCCCCCAGCACTCTGCAGTTCGTTTCTCTTYGCACAGAGAGGAGGGAAAGACAAGGCACTTTAGAGGGCATCCAGGTGAAGACTACACAACTGCATAACTTGCCAGGAAGATTGTGAGTGGGATCCTGCTTGTCTGGAGAGGATCCAAGTATCAGGAATATTGAGGGTTCCCAGAGAGTGCTATCCTTCTGTAGACAGGTCTCCAGATGGGCAGATTCCTGGCTGAGGACACATGAAAGCAGGTATCCAGAGAACCCAAGAAAAAACAGTGCTGATACCCTCAGCCTTTCTGTCTCAAGAAAATACARATGTTCATTTTCCTGGAGCTCTAGATTCAGCTCTGGCTGTGGGGTCTTTCAGCAGAAATACACCTTGTCCTGGTAAAAGAGGCAAGGTAAAAGAGGGAGTCACTGTTGTTATGAGCATGAGAGGTCAGGACTATTCCCAGCAGAACGTGCCAAACCCAGCAGCACCAATGGGAGACCCCTTTCCTCAGCCAGCAGATAAACCCTCCTGATCATGGTGTAAGCAGTGTGCTCACACAGCCACTGCCAAGGGACTTCTCCACCACCATCTAGTCTTTTCTGCCTGGAGGACTCAATTCCACTGCCCACCCCAGACAAGAAGTTTTCACATCTCATCTCTTGGAGAAGACGCCACTCCTACCACTTCCAGGATGTGATTAAAACTTCACTAGACAGTTCCAGCCAAGAGCAAAAAAAAAATAAAAGAAAATACAGGACCT